GAGGCTCCCAGGAGTATTGAGATTACTTTAGCTGAGACTTCTAGCAGTGGGGATATGAAACCTGAAATGGCCACCTTCTGTAGCCAGGCACAACTCCCAATGGAAGGATAAGTACATCAACTCACCACAAAACTTTTAACCCATAATTTGTCCTGTCTATAAGAAGTGCAGGGAGAAAGATGGAGAAAAGGCTAAAGAATGGCCAACTAATGACTGGCCAAACTTTTGCCCCTGGGGATACTGTTTACTTGCAGACAGCAGCTGAGCATAACTGTTCTCTGAGTGGCTCTTTCCAGCAGCTGACTAAAACAGATGCAAAGACCCACAGTCGAGCATTAAATGAAGCAAAGACCAAGAATGTGTTCTAATCACTTGCATGTTATAGTCATGGATTGATTTTCTAAAGTTATATTTGGAAATGAATTCATTTTCTACAAAGACAAATATGTTATCTGCAAAGAGAAAAAGTTTTTTTCAATTTATGAACATTAAGTTTCCTTTACTGATCTTGCTACATTAGTTAGGACTTCAAGAACCTGGATGCAAATTCTCAGAGAGAGGAGACACTGCTGAGTTGTTTTGTTTTTATTGAAAAATTTCTGGTTCTTTCACATTAAATGTGAAGTTAGATCCAAAGGTTCCTTTGCACATAATTTTATCCTGACTAAGGTTGTTCTCTGCTACTAATTTACTGTGATTGCTTGCAATGAATGTGTGTGAGATACTGACAAATACTGTTCTTTCATCTGAATGCATGCCTTTATCATGCATGTTTTCAAATTTTACCTTGTTGCTGTGATAAATAGGTAAATTCTAGTTTTTCATAGCATCTGTATGTTTTGATATGACATTAGATTAAATTTGTATCACTAACACCTTTGACTATTCAGATAAATGAATATTTATGCAATATTTTTCTTCTGCAGACATCCCACCACATTCTTACACAAAACAACAGGTAATATGGTTTTGTGGCACCTTTGCCATATGTATGGTCTGTTGTTGGTTTGGATTGTATGGCAAAGAAATTAAATGTGTTGAGGATTTTATATCTATGTACAAGAAGATGTTTGTTCTTACTTTTTCTTTTATATTGACTTTTTCAGATGAGGTGTTTGGATAATGCTGGTCTTGTAGCTTGGATAAAGTTACATGACTCAATTTTATGACTGGATTATTCAGCTATCAAGGTAAGCTCCACTATCCCTGTAACATTTAACAAGGTCTGTCTAAGAGGAAGAGAAGCTTCTGTCACCCTCGCATAATCTTCCTTTCCTCACACATGGAAGAATATCTTTTCCAGTTCCCTCATAACTTCATAAGTGTCTGGATGATTCATGCTTTGACCACATTGATGGAGAAGCATTTTATAGTTCTTTGAACTGTAATCTAGCAAACAGAATTCCTGGAGTTCTGACAGTTATCATCCTGGGATCCAAGTGGGCCTTGGGACTCCACATGCAACTTTCCAAACCCAGTGAAATGCCTCCCTGAGATCTCATTCATATCATTTCTGGAAACATGATCAATCAGTGCTGGAGTCCAAGTTCTAAGAACTCAGGGAGAGGAACCTCAACATAAAAGATCCTAGATGTTTCTGCCTTTCTATTGGTGGATCCTCTTCATTCCATTGGCATATATGGAAAGAATGCCTGAAATAGGCAATTGGGTTTCTAAGAGGCATCTGTTTTGTCTAAAAAGAGAAATGTGCACTTTATTGTGACCACAGCAAAAGCTGAGTTGGGAAATTGTTGTTTTACTTCCTGAAAAAAAGTTCTGCATTGAAAACAGGGAAGAATGAGAGACATTCATCTCAAGATATGTGACCTCTGGCTTTTTTTTCTCTCATCCCCCAACACAGTGGTGCGGTCAGAAAAAGTATCATGATTCCTGAAAATTACCACCCAGTCTGCCTACTCCATGAAGAAGCTCAACTAGTCATGATCTTGTTCTTGCTTTGCACTGTTTGGAGAGCCCCAAGATTTTACTGTACTATCTCTTCTTAATTACTAACATAATACTTGAGAACTTGCTGACAGATGCAATCATGGGCAGCCTAGTACCTGAAGATTTCCATTGTTTTGGATTTTTTTGATGTTTTGGGGATTTTTTTGTTGTTATTGTCATTTTTCAGGTGAAGGGGCTTTCACAAAGGTCCAGACACAAGTAATTTCATCAAAGGTAAATGAACCTGATTTATCTCAAGATAACATTAAAGATGTCCGTCAAATTCTTGGCCCTAATTGCCATATATTCTAGTTGCAAAACTACACATATTGTTCCCATGATTCTCTTTATGAAAATAGTATGTAATGAAAACAGACAATTATCATTTAAGAAGTAAGTGTTGTCATAACTATTCAGGATACCAGCAGTCAAGGAGAGGGACAACAGCAGTTTCTGACTTAACAGCAACCACTAATTTTAATACTAAAGCAATATCTTTTAAATTAGTCTTCTTTTTGTTGTTTGGCAAGTGTTTTGCTCATAAACATGTGTTTCTTCTTAGGCACTAATGATGGACTGATAAATTTTAATCATTTGGTATTAGTAACTGATTTGTTATGTTTTCCCACGTGTTTTTTCTTGTTTTAGAATAATGTGCTAGGAAGTGGTGATTTGGGGTCAGGAATGAGAAAATGTGACTTACAGTTAACATGAAATTTTATTTCTTAATTTCTTCTACTTGTCTCTAGACGCCTAATAGCATAATACTTGAGAATAATAAGACTGTTTTTGAAATGTAAGATAAATCACTTCCTTCAACTATTGGCTGCCATAATCTTTGTCATTTTAAAGGCAATATGTCTCCTGTGTATATTTTATTTTAAATACTTATCATAGGATTTGGTCAGATATCTTATATTTTCTGTTCTAAAGATCTCAGAATCATTTTGGCCCCAGATGTCCAGATAATATGGAGATGTGAGAAATTAAATGAAAACCTTTATTGCATTAAATGTAGCTAGCTCACCAATATCTCTATTCCCCTCTTTGTAATGCTTTTATGCAAATAAAACAGAAAAAGACACAGGGTTAAAGAAAATATAAAACAAACAAAAATGTCTGAAATTTGTTCAGACAAACTTGAAAATAAAACAGGCTGAATCATGGGATATAGTACAGGTGAGGTGAGGCTCAATGACACAACATTTGCTTAGAATGATAAAATGCTCTAGGCCCTGATGGCACACACCCGTAATCCCCACAGTCCAGAGTTTGAGTGAATTAGATTTTTGTAATTTTGAGGCTACCCTGCTCTATATAACAAGTCCTCAGGCAGCTTGTCTGTAAAACAAAAACAAGGCAGTGTGGTGGTGGTGCATACCTTTAATAGCAGTATTCAGGGAGCAGAGGCAGGAGGTGGATCTCTCAGTTCAAGGTCTATCAGCCAGTTCTCTAGAGCAAGGGCTATAGAGAGAAACTCTTTGGGGCTGTGGAAATCCTGGGGTGTTTGGACATGCCCCCCAGAACCCAGAGACCTGACACGAGGTCTCCATGTAACATGCAGTGGGTCACGTAAGGCCCAGGTAGAGGGCGGGGAACACGTCTCTGCCTCAATATTTACATATTACCTAAAGGCCCTGGCCCTGCCCCTCTCCCCCTTCCAATATAAAGAACTCCCTTCTGGCATTTTGTGGGAGAGCACGCCATCATTCAGACTCATCACCATGTCAATAAATCTCCATGTCTTCTACCCCAAGTGTCTCCTGCAATTCTGGACTCTTTGTGTAAGTGGAAAACTCACGCGGGGTTGGGGGTGTGCCTGTGCACCTTCACAGGCTGCCCCATCTCTGCTCCAGGGACTCTGTCTTCTCCTGTGCCACTGCTCCTGGGACCCTGTGGCCACCGGCAGCGTGTGGGCAGCCCAAGCCCCACCACCCAGGCGAGACGGAACCATCAACAGGGAGTGATGGGAGTCCCGAGTACTGCCAGCTGAGCCACGGTTCTTGGGACGCCCTCGGCTTCTGCGCACAAGAGTGCAGCCGTGACCCTGACCCAGCCCCGCGTGCCCTGTGTGAATTTTGAACCACAAAACTCTATCTAAAAAAAAAAAAACAAACAATAACCAAAAACAAATGAAAACAAAACAACAACACAAAACCTTCAAGAATGCTAAAGATCCTGAGTTTCATCTGTAGAATAAGACATAAGGTGATAGCAAATCTTTCTTTTCAAGAACCAGTTCTTTGATAACTTCAAACAATGTTCATTGATCATATTCACCAGTCTCCTAAATCATCTGCAAAATGGATCTTTTCTTCCTTTCAAAGGACTTCTGATTCTCTTTTCCTGCCTAGGAGACTTATGGTCTACAGATTTCACACATATTATAGCAAGCCATCTATACATTCTCAGAGCAGAGATGAACACTCAGGGGGCACCTGCATTATACAACATCTTGAACCTCTCATGTCATTCCAAGTTATAGCTTGGCCAGGAATCAAGTGATAGCTCAAGCTACCACGACCCCATAAACAATTTGCTAAATGAAGTGCTCACAGAGAGCTCCAAATGAGGAACCTGAGAGATGAGATCTCACTGCTCAAGATGACATGAGCAAAGAGTTAAAGAAAAACTAGCCCTGATTCCAGCTGGGAGGATTCTGCCCCAATGATCAGAAACATGTAAGAGGTAAGAATAATCCTGACAATTAATCATAGGAAGATGGTGATGTGTGAAGTTGGTAAGAAAAAGAGTCCCTACAGTGTTGTAGAGTTATTTTGGCTAGAGCCATGAAGGAGACTTCAAAAGGAGCTCCTGAGAGGGAAGGATGCATATGTAGCCACACAAATGTAGATACGGACAGGCAAGAAACTCACCAGTCTATTGTTGTTTCCTCTGGGATGTCAGTCTGACAAGAAACAATAGGGCGGAGATAAACAGAGTTAAGAAAGAAGACCATCTTTAAATAAATGAGTACAGAGATTCTAGAGCCTGCCCAAGCTACAGAATTAGGGAAATGAGAGTCAGGCCACTGAGAAGGGCAGTTCCTCTTACTGTGAATATCCTGGAGTGTAATCATTTGATGGGAGAGCACCCCGTCTCCAAAGAATATAATCTGTGTTCCAGTCCATCTTGACAGGCATCGTGGCCTTCTCCATATATACAGTTGTAACCACTAAGAAGAGATGCCATGGCTTTCACCTTCATGTTCCTGCTCTGTTTGGGTAAGAAATAAAGAATGGGAAGAAATATTATGATCCAGGAGGGACCCTATCACCCAGCTCAAGACATTCCCAGGAGAAAATTCCAATGGTACAAGAGGTTTTCTGGAGGAAAGATCTTGTTCAGAACTCAGTAGAAATTCTGAAAAGGGACCTTTCTTCCAGGCCTGAGTACCAGATCCAGGATCCCTGTGCTGACTGGTAAGTGTGTACTCAACTGCCCTAGAATATTCCTCTTCACTATGAGCAGTAAGAATGGAGAGCCACAGGTATGGGATAATCTTTGCTATATTGGGAGTGTTCAGGATCTAAGGGCTAGGATCAGATGGATAATGTCCCAGGACACCATTTGCTGATTCTTTGTAGGAGCCTTACCAAAGCCCACCATCAAAGCTGAGCCAGGCACTCTGGTCTATAAGGGAATGCAAGTGTTCATCTCATGTAAGGGGATTTCAGATGCATGGAAGTACCTTCTTTATATTCAGAAATTTGAATATACCCAGCCCCTGCACACACAAACCTCAACAAATCATGGGGAGAAAGCTGTGTTCCATATAAGCTCTGTTGGAAAGCATGATGGAGGCCAATATTCCTGTTGTTATGAGACCACTGCTGGCTGGTCAGTGCACAGTGACAAGCTGGAGCTGGTAGTGACAGGTAAGAGGATACCAAGAGGTACCACCCCAATTTCTAACTTCAGGTAGAGGTGTCTGCTGACTCAATGTTCCTCTTTTGCAGTTCAGCCTTGTGTGACAAGTTGGTCTTTGGTGAGCATGTTTAAAATTCTGTCCCTTTATCTCTCTCCAAGGATTCTTTGACAATAAACCAATCCTATCAGCCTTACCGAGACCTATGGTGACCTCAGGAGAGAGTGTGACCCTCAAGTGTTTTTCACAAAAGGAATATGACAAGTTCATTGTGATCAAGGAAGGAAAACAAAAGCACTCCATGATCATGAAGTCACAGAAGACATATGTTGGGCAGTTTCAGGCCCTGTTTTCTGTGGGTCCTGTGACTCCAAACAGTAGTGGAACATTCAAATGTTACGGATATTACAAGGCAAGCCCACAGATTTGGTCAGAACCCAGTGACCATCTGGATATATATGTCTCAGGTAAGGAAGCCCCATTACAAACCCAATCATAGTTTGAAATCCTAAACTACTCTCCTTGAACCCTGCTGAGAGGTAGTTGAGGAGTTTTGAGAGCCAGAGTCAGAAAGATCCCAGAGTGCAGGAGACAGTATCACAGGCAAGACAAGCTGGGAGGGAGAAAATACTTGGCAGGACTTGGCTGTACAATCACATGCCTATGTTCCTTCCAAGGCTATCTAGGAAGCCCACCCTACTGACTCAGAAAAAAACATATCTTAGCCCCCTTTAGAGACACTGATCATCCACTGTACTGATTCTGACTATGATAGACTTGTCCTGTCCGAGGAAGGGTGAACTTACCTTTCTAGCACCACAGAATACACAACAGGAATGGGCTTTTCAAGGTTAACTTTACTCTCTGAGTCCTGTGATCAGCTTCCATGGGTACTAGTTACAGAAGCTAGGGTATGCACAGTCTCTACACGAAAGTAATCAGCCCCTAGTGGCCCCATACATACCTGTTCACAGGTAAAAAGCCTTGTAAGCCAATTCAGAGACACAGACTTCACAGAGTATGGGTTTGAGTTTACAGAGATCATGCTGAGCACACCAGAGAAGCCATACTGAGGGCAATCATAAGAATCAAAGGATAGGAGTCATGTGTTTTCTTATGCAGTGTTTTCTTGGGATTGCTTCCTGTAACACCTTCATCAACTTGTTCAGTCTGAATATTCTTCTTTCACTGTGTGTCTTTACTGTCTGTTTGAAACTCTCCAGAAAATGCTTCTTGTAAATGTTTTGTTTAAGGTTCATGGATTTTTATCTTAAGACCTTAGAAGTGTCTAAATCTATTACAAACTTTAGAACATCAGTTGATATTTAATTTCACATTTTATTTAGTGTTGTTTGTACCTGAATATGTTTAGCTCTAGTCAGAGACCTATCCTGCCTGAAACTGAAGAACCTATCTGGGGCTCATCTCTATTGAAGGAAGGTTTCCCCACTTTCTCAGGAGTTATTAATGGTCTGTAGCTATTTGTCTAGGGATTGGGCCTTGTGAGATTTCCCTATCTACACTGGCACATTAATTCATATTGCCATTTGTACAGCTTTTATTTCAATGACCACAATGTTAAGGTTTTATGAATGCAGCTTCCTACCATACATAGAAAATACTACCTCATAGCACATTGTCTGATCCCTTGGCTCTTGCAGTATTTCCACCATTTAACCAATATGTTTTAGCCTTACTGGGTTGTATATACATCAATTGGTATTGAGCAAACCATGCTCTCTGCATTTTTGGCCAATTGTGGGTTTCCATAATGGTCTCCATGTTCTGCAAATGTAAGCTTCAGTTACATATAGTAAGAACTACACTTATTTTTAAATATAAGGATAAGTATTTATGATGCAGCTAGACATGAAATTGATTTAAAAAATGGTTTTCCTCTAGGTCCTTGATCTAATCAACCATAGGTAGTTGGATAGATTTACAGTACCAAGTATGAATTCCTTCATTATTTTATAACACTAAAGTTCTATTTTTCTGTTGTTGGTTACCCCTAATATTTAAGTGGCACATTTTACTTTACATCTTACAATCATGGTCATTATTATAGTCAAATTCCACTCAGTTTTTAAGTTCATAAAACATTTTTCTAGATATTTTTAAAATGCATTTACTAATCCACCTAAAGTTCTTAAGGTTTTTAAGGTTTGCATTGTTTTATGTATATTGGCGTGTTCTCTCTGTCTCTCTCCTCTTTCTCTGTCTTTCTTTGTCTGTCTCTGTTTCTGTCTCTCTCTCTGTCTCTCTCTCTCTCTCTCTCTCTCTCTCTCTCTGTGTGTGTGTGTGTGTGTGTGTGTGTGTGTGTGTGTGTGTGTGTATGCATCACATGCCTGCCTTGTGCCTGTGGAGGATAGACAAGGAATTGCAAGTACAGATGCTTGTGAGCTGCTATCTGGGGTGCCATAAATTGAACCCAAGCTCTATGGAAGAGCAGCAGTGCTTTTCAACACTAAGTCCTCTCTCCAGATAAAAATATTTGGTGTTTTAGACAAAAATATGTACATTTATGTACATATCTTGTAACAGAACTATTGAAATATTTCAATAATTTGTACATCATGTAATTGAGTGCTTTTCATTTTTAAAGAAAATATAGAGATAAGTTGATTTACATATATAAACTTCATTTCACACATGCATCATGGTCTTTCCCTTCAATTGCTTCTCAATAATTTTTTGACCTATGGATAAAAATCATGTCAATCACAACTTGATAGAAATTTTACTCAAAATGTTTTTCATTAGCATATATCCATTGATTAGTTTATGAAGACATTTCCAAATGAGAACATCATGCAGAAATTTTGGCCTTTTAAATCTTCAGCCCTCCTCTTTTCCCTACTTTTTGCTTTGACCATGAACTTCCCAGTCTCACTTCTATGTTTTATCACAGACACACAAAATGGGGTGTGTATGTGAGTGTGAGAGTGAGAGAGAATGTGTGTGTGAATGTGTGAGTGCATGCGTGTATGTGTGTGTGTGTGTGTGTGTGTGTGTGTGTGAGAGAGAGAAGAGAGAGAGAGAGAGAGAGAGAGAGAGAGAGAGAGAGAGAGAGAGAGCCTGAAAATGAGAAATAACATATAGTATCTGGTAATTATGAGTTTGATTGATTTGACTTACTACAATAATTTCCAAGTACATCAATTTCTACACAGACATATCTTTTTCTTGCATACCAATTATTCTTGCTACAAATATATATGCCAGATATTATATATAACATTATACAAATACATCTGTGCTTCTTTACCATATATATTGTATGTTTACATGTCTTTATATTCCGAAAACTTCAGTCAATTACTATTGCCTTACTAATGTTTTTGGAAGTTTATCTTTTCCTCTATAGATTCACAGACTTACACCTTACAGCATGTATGCATAGATAGTTCATGGGCATTTTTTAATCTTGTTGGGTCTCATTGAATGTACTTCTAATTGTGTGATCAGTTAGTGGTTATTAAATAGAGCTATAGCACCTTGAGAACTAGCTGTGGTATGTACAGAGGAAAAGGATCCAGTATGTCATCCCTATTTATTCTAGACTTTTCATAGCTTCTAATATGCAGATTTCACCTTGGGATCTTGGGTACCTAACAGACTAAAGAGAAAATATATGTCATTGAATTTTGTTGTGATATGATTCTGTGTGGTAGATTAAGCAGGATGCTCAGAAGGTTTCCTTTATTCTGAACTGTGAATAGTGCTTTTTATCATTAATCCTGATCCCTTGATATTCAGATAAATTGTTGTTCTAAAGTTAGTCATGTGTTTTGACCTTAAATAATACAGTAACACTGAGTATTTTAATAAGAATACCAGAGGGATACTTATTCACCTTTTACAGCAGGAGAATGATTAATCACAGACCTTCATCAGTTTATATAATGAGAATGTTGGGCATTTAAGTACTTCACACATATTACTTTTTTTTTCTGTTCTCAGGGTCACCTGGGACCATCGGTCTATTCCAGAACATGTCTAAAGCCAAGACAGGTAAATTAGGAGACTTCAAAGTCATAGTATTGATGCAAAAAGTCCAAGTCTTGTCCAGGGAAAGCAGGGTCCCTGGGTGAATAACCAGTTATCATGTAAAAATTTTGATCTTCTTTAATATTTGTGACTTCTTTATCCCGAACCATAGCCTCAGAGACCAAGGATCACACAGTGGAAAATCTCATCAGGATGGGGATGGCTGGTTTGGTCATCATAATCCTTGGAATTCTGCTGTTTGAAGCTTGTCACAACCATACACAGGACTACCATGCACCAGGAGGTAATCAGAAGAGAAAAAGTACATCTTTCTGGGTTACAGAGTCTGAGCAATAGATACAATAATCTCAGACTTTTGTGTAAAAAATCCCAGCCCCTATGTTGAAAAACTGTTCTGAGAATGGGGAGCAAATGTGTTTGGGATTGCAGGGAACAATATGGATGTTGTAATGAGATTCTTCTTCACTGTGGGAATTTCAGTTCTTCCATCTACTATGGGCATTTGCTAACTGACTTAGCTGTATTTTGTATAAACAATATGAGGAAAGTCCTCACATCTGTGCATCCTCTGCTTCCCTTGCCTCTCATGTGACATTCTCTATTATTATAAATTACCATATTCACTATGACAGTAACATCTTTATTTTGGACTAGAAATAATCGGCCTCAATAAAAATAGATGACTAAAGTCAGAATCCAGAAGGAAAATCACTTCATGCCTTTGATGATACAAATTTCACTGCATGTACTTCCATCCCTTCAGTTCCAAGAGCTAACTCAGATCTGTATTATGGGTAAACTTGAAATCCACATACATAACTTACTAGACTGATGGGCATATCATTTGTGTTCAGATTACTCCTGGAAATGTATTAGGTTTCTATCAATAAGATCTTTCATCATCACTCCATCAGAGTGATCTCCTCCGAGCATTAAAGTCGTCATATTCCTTTGCCTAAAGATTTCCCATTGTTTAGAGGTCAAAGCTTATTACACATTCATTGTATAAAGGTGAGATGCGGACACCAATACCCTGGAAATTTTCACTTCTTAGAAAAGCTGTTGTTACTCATCAGTGAGTAAGTCTGTCTCCTACTATTCTCAGGTCATCACCTGACCTTTCTCCAAGGCAGGTTCAATTCAAGATTCGCTAGATTTCCAATTTTGGGGTGACTTAACTTCCCCATATCTAGATTCCCAATGTGTATAAAGCTGAAGCTGGTTTACTCATAATTTCTGACTTTGCAAATGTTTGTCTTCCTTAGTCTATGGAATGGACCACTTTGTAGAACCAGTAACTTTCTGGCCTGTCACCAAGTGATGTGACTTGGGCTCAGGAGGCAACAATAATTATTATTCCTTGTTAATGCAAGGAATAATTCTGGCCTGAAAAAGGTCTGGAAGAAAGGACTTAGCACCATATGAACTGCAGTCAAGTGTTCAGTCTGTCTATGCTGCTTTGCAAGCTCCCTATATTACTGGCCTTTATCTTCCCCAGACAAAATTTTAAGGCTAGGAAGAAAACCAGCTATGAAATAAACTGAGTACTGTACAAATATTCAACCTGAAGGGAGGACACCTAGGATGAAGTTTGAGAGATTAGCAACAGTGCTCACTCACACTCAGGGAAATGAGTGGCTTATGGAGAAGTTCTATCTGCAGCTATTTCTGATCGTAAAGAAATGATGAAACAGATGAGAGCTGCAGCGAGACCTTGTTGCTATTTGTGGTTTCACTAAAGGACTGGTGTTTATTCCACTAGCTAGAGTAAGTAAGAGCCTGTGTCTTATTCATTAACATCTCAAACACTTCCCCGTCTTGATCTACCCTCACAGAGTCCACTCCCTCACCCCTACCATAGTCTCTGAGAGGGTGGGACCCCATGGGTATCCTTCCAAATCTGGTACATCAAGTCTCTGCAGCATTAGGTGCATCCTCTCCCACTGAGGCTAGCCAAAGCAGCCCTATACAACAAATGTGCCAGGGGTGAGTAGGTCTAACTTGTGTATGCTCTTTGGTTAGTGTCTCAGTCTCCAAGAGCTCCCAAGGTTCAAGTTAGTTGGCACTGTTGGTCTCCTTGTGGGGTTCCTATCCCCTTAAGGGTATTTAATCCTTTCCCTAATGATTCCATAAGGTTCTGCAACTGCTGTCCAATGTTTGAGTGTAAGTGCCTGTATCTGTTTTAGATGCTGTGTAGAGCTTCTTAGATGACAATTAGGCTAGGCACCTACCTGTAGGCATTACAGAATATTATCAGTAGTGTCAGGGATAGAGGCTTACCCATGGGATGTGTCTCAAGTCGGGTTGGTTATTGGTTGGCCATCCTTCAGTCTCTGCTCCATCTTTGTCCCTGCATTTCTTTTAGACAAAATAAATTTTAGGTTGAAAGTTTTGTGGGTGGGTTAGTGCCCATATCCCTCCACTGGAGGTCCTGCCTGGCTACAGCAAGTGGCTTCTTCATGTTCCATGTTCCCACTGTTAGGCATCTCAGCTAAGGTCACCCTCATTGACTCTTGGGAGACTGATCCATTCTGGGTCTTTGGGGCTTTCTAGAGATTCCTACCCAACCACCAATCCATGTAGTTGCAGATGTTGATTAATTCTTCTGGCTTTATGGCCTTCTCTCCTGCCTTTCCACACACCTTACTTGCCCTCTATACTCTTCCTTCTCCATTGTCCCACTCAGATCCCTGCACCCCTCTGCCTTCCATGACTATTTTGTTCCCCATTCTAAGTGATATTCAAGCATGCTAAATTGGACCTTCCTCTTCTTCTTGTGTAACTTCTTTGGGTCTGCAAGGTGTACCATGAGTATCTTGAACTTTTGGCTAATATGCACTTACCAATTAAGACATATCATGCATGACCTTTTGGGTCTGGGTTACTTCACTCAGAATGACTTCTTCTAGTTCCATCCATTTGACTACAAAACTCATGATGTACTTGTTTTTAATAGCTGAATAGTATTACATTGTGTAAACCTACCACATTTTCTGTATCTATTCTTTTGTTGAGGGATATTTGGGATGTTTCCAATTTCTAGCTATTACAAATAAAGCTGCTATGAACATAATACAGCACATATTCCTGTGTTACGGTGGAGCATTGTTTGAGTATATGCCCATAAGCAATATAGCTAAGTCTTCAGGTAGAATTATTTCCAATTTTCTTAGAAACCAACAGATTGATTTCCAGAGTGGTACAAGTTTGCAATCCCACCAACAATGAAGGAGTGTTCCCCTTTCTCTGCATCCTCATTAACATATGCTGTCACTTGAGTTTTTCATGTTATCCATTCTGATTGGTGTAAGGTGGAATCTCAAGTTCATTTGATTTGCATTTTCCTGATGACTATGAACTTTAAAAGTTTTTAAGTGCTTTTTGGTTTAGTGATTCATTTTAAAGTTATCTCTTTTAAATACCAATAAGTCATTACATTCAAGGAATGTTGCCCCTAGCTAATCATTAAAATGTGGTATTCAAAAAAGTATTCATGCTACATAAGCATCTCTTTCCTAGCTTTCATTTCCTCTTCTGCCCCTTGCATCAAAGCTTCCTGCTTTTTAGATGTAGGAGGAGCTAAGGTGGGAGGAGTAAGGAGAGGAAGGAGAAAAGGTAGAGGAGGAGCTAGGGAGGGAAGAAGGAGGATGAAGAGCCAAGCAGGTATGGAGAGCAGTCACGGGTAACAATTTATATTTAGGTTAGCTAATTGGGAAACAACTCTAATTGTATGGGCATATTGTTATTGAGCATTACCAAACATATAAAGCCTTTGATTAATATTTAAGCGTTAGTGTCTCATTTTCCTACTGGGCCAGTGTGGATGGTGGGACAGTCTGGGCAATGCCCAGTCTTTCAGAGACAATGTGGAAGATTGGCAGAGCCATCTCCCATGCTGGTGTCTCGTGGGTGGCAGGGCTGGTGTTTCTGGCTGGCCATTTCTAGTTGCAGCGCATGTGGTCTCTGGGCACAGAACATGGTGGCTGAGCTAGGCATAGCTGCCATAGCTTAGATAGTGGGCTTGACTAGTGGCTATTTTCAAGAATTACTTCAACATTTAGAGGTTTTTTATTGTTTTCTTTTAAATTAAAATTAATTTCTTAAAATTATTCACTTTACATTCTGCTCACTGCCCCACTCTCGGACATCTCATCCTACAATACTTCCCCCAACTCACCTCCCCTTATCCTGTGAGCTGGGGGGCCCCCTTGGTATTCCCCAGCAAATACATTCCAGTCTCTGTGAGGTAGACACTTCCTTTCCCAGTGGGGTCAGCCAAAGCAGCTCAGATAGTAGAACATATCCCACATTCAGCAAATAACTTTTGGTGTGGGGAAAATTTAAGAAGGTCACCACAGCGGCGCAAGCCCCGGAGGGGCTTCCGCAGCCGTGGCGGGGTCCCACATTAGGGAAGAAGTCCTATGGTTCCAGTGGCCTGAGGGCCTTGGTGGTGGCAGGCCCCAATAACACGAGGAAGTCCTTGGTTCCAAAATGGTTTATTGTCATGGCGGATAATAGATGGATCTAGATGTACCCCCCAAAAACTCAGGGCAGTCCCGAGTTATATAGGGAGGGAGAAAGGGGGAGGATTGGGGGAGGATCTGGGGGAGGAATGTTTAATTTGCTCTGCCCTCTGGCCTTCATTAGTATGTAAATCCCTAGGGCCTGAGGCCTATAGCCTGGCCTATGTGACTCTATGGAGATCTATGTGACTGCTTTTCAGGATCTTGGATGATGGGAGGGACCGAACTCCTGCCAATTCTCACACAGAATTCCACGGAGAATCTCGGGGTTCTAGGTACCTGCTCAACCATGACCCAGGATACCCTTATGCAGTCCCACATTTTGGGATAGCTCTCATTCCAGTTTTTCAGGACTCACATGAATGTCAAGCAGAATATCTGTTGCGTTTGTGTGGGGATGTCTAGGTCCAGCCCATGTATGTTCTTTTGTTGGTGGTTCAGACTCTGAGAGCTCCAAGGGTCCAGGTTAGTTAATTCTGTCATCACCTGCCTATAGAGTTCCTATCTACTCATTCTGGATGAAAATTTAGCTCTGATCTTTATTTCATAGAGAAAGAGAAACTTCTACCATTTTATTGCTGAATGAATTAAAACCAAGTCTGTTTTTAAAAAACACTTGTTCTCGAGTTCCGGCAGAGAGCGCGGCGGGCAAGGTAGTGCGGTCCTCTACCCGGGCCCCCCCCAGGGCGTCGGCCGGTGCGGGGGGTGGGGGGGACCGGAGTAGCCTCGGTTCCCATCCTGCGAACGCTAGGAGCCCGAA